ACAGGCCCTAGACTCAGACTGGTTGGACTGGTACCCGCCTAGACCTAGCCTACAACTACTGGGCCTCTAAAAATGCCAGCTTTTGTCTTGTTCTGATCGGCCTCGAGTACCCAGCACATCAACCTCTACCTGGTGTGATACCAGCCTACCTTCTACTTGAGTGTTTTCCGCTGCTTCAAGTGTTGTTTGCCTCTTTTCCCGCCACTTGAGTGTTTTCCCCGCTGCAACCCTCAATGTCACGGCCACAGGTAAGTACCAGCCCTTCGGGCCCTCTGAACGAACAAGTGCCCTTGCGGGTCACACACACACTCAAGCTGACAAGCACTCAGACAGGAATGCAGACCAGCAAGCATGCACACACACAGACTTAGAGAACTCAGCAACAAGCGGGAAACTCAGCAAGGCATTCATTCTATGACCAAAACTCAGAAATCAGCTGTGTGTCTCAGTCCGTGTTTGGCATGTCATTACAAATGCCACAAAAAAGGCAGGCAAAATCGGCAAATGTTTTCCCCCCTCCCCTTGAAGATGGGTAGTGAACAAGCAAGTTGGCATGGAGAATGATGAAATTGAATGCCGCAAAAGAAGGGAGGCAAATGCCACCCGGGCAAGCTCATATTTATGCAGGTTCTTCATTTCTGGCCGTTGACCTTTGCAATCAAGATTAGAAATGCATTTTAGAGTCCAGGTAAGTGCGACCTTAACCCTGAAGCAAGTTGTTGGGAGCGAACCTGACGGGAATGACTTCATCTAGGGTGTGGAAAAACCGGCCAATTACCACAGATAGAACAGTCATAACCCTGCAAACCCCGAATGAAGAAACCCAGCCAAAAAGTCGATCAGCCAATCGGTCAGCAAGTCATAAAAATCATTCGATAGAAAAAAGAAAAAAGAAAACCATCCTTTGACTTCATATCAAATGAACAATATACGCATGACATTACTCCTCACTAAACGAGCACATGCGCTTGTGCATGCTAGTGTGAAATGACACTGAAATCAGATAAACAATCAAGCGGACACAAAGGAAATCTTTGCAACTTTTCCACTGAAAAAGCAACTTAGAATTCTAGTACGCATTAGCTACCTGAATTAAGAATTGCGTCTTTATTCCACCTCTCGCTTTGATCCCCACCTTAATCCACCAGTAACCCATCCAGCTGCCTGTGAGAATGTACCAGTTAGCATAACGCTATGGAAAGGGCCAGCCTAGTGGAGCAGAAAGTCTACCGGCACCCGGTACTTGGGCCGGTAGGCCCTTGCTCATGACAATCTGGTATGCCAGGGGCAGGCAAAGCCGTGCATCGGATAAAAGAGGCTCAGAAGTACTGGTGGTTTAATTAGAGTAAGAGAAAGCACTGCTTCCTATCTTGAACCACCAGTACCTTTCCCCGCTTGAAGAAAAATGCCCGCCAGTTAACACGGGGGGTGGGCAGCTTCGGGACTACCAGCGCGAAATGGCTGGTGGCACAAGCCAAAATTGAATCCGCTTCAGTTCTTTTTTTCTGGTGTGCAAATCGATTTTAGGCTCGGCACCGATAGCTGAGAAAGGGTACTGGTGGTTTAAACTCCAAAATCTGGCGCAAAGCCCCCATTGAAAAAAGAAGAGGTGACTATCCCAGGCCAGAGCCCATATAGCGACTCCCACAACCTCTACTCATCAGCTGCTCACTAAGACAGCACACACTTACACGTGCAGAGCAACGGTCTTTAAAAAAAAAAAAAAAAAAAAAAAAAAGGCATCGTTTTCAGCTCAAAATCCCCTGGTGGATATCAGTCAACCAGTCCTAGGCGAGAATCTGTCTCCACTTCCCACAACCAATCAGCCAATCACGAAAATGAGTCAGACAAACGCCTGTGGATTCTGTGTGGAACCCATACATTCCTTAATCTAATCCCCTGGCAAGTGGAATCTCACTGCGGTTGCGACTTTAATTTTGACTGTGAAATCCGAAATTCAAAATGTGGAGGCTCTGAACTGTCAACAATAAGCCTATTCTCTTCCTCGTGCAATCAGACTCGCGTTCTTCTTCACTTCACATACATGCAAGCAGATGTTAATCCACGCTGGCGCTGTGCACCCACACTAAGCTCGGAGATATTCAAGTTGAGAACACAGTTTGGATACAAACTCGCTTCGAACTGGCTATGGCGCCTGAGCGCTCACACATCCTCTGTCCAACACTGTAGTCACACAACCATTTGCACGCACTCGACTCTGGATCTCCCTGGATATCCCACATACACACACACTGGACTCTACCTCTAAGCTACAGCATCTATGGCCACTCTACTACTACTGGCTATGGACGGACTATCTCCCTTCAGCCCACTTCAACTTCGGGCAACTGCAGATCACCTCGCACAAGACGCTATGGCAGTGCTTCCGCATGGCTCACGCAGGAATGAATGAATGGCTGGACGCTGCCTCTTGATTTATACTTGTGTAAGTCGCTGGTCGGCCCTCTTCCACCGGGCCCATTGCAATTACTTGCTGTTTTCTGGTTTCCTGTAGCCTCTCTCTGTCGAGGCTGTACTATAGGTAGGATAGATTCGTAATTTTGTTTGGCTGAGGGCTAACCGAGAGACCTACCTGTGAGGGAAATTTGTGAGGGACATATCTGCAAATCCAGGAAAAATGCAGGCCTGGTACTAACAGAATTCCCTACCGCCACCCTAACTGCGAATAGCAGGCCCGGGCTACCCCTAGGACGGACAGGCCCTAAAGGCCTATTCTGATGGACGGTCCTATAGCCTTTAGCCGGGTCCGGTAGAGGCCGAGAGTCCGAAACAGAAACGCTACCGGTCGGTCAGTCAGTCCGGTCTAGGTCGAGTCTAGGCTAGGTCAGTCTATAGATAGGAGGGGCACATCGGCTCAGGGTTTTTGGGCAGTTGGTACCGAGTACATCGCTGCTGTGCTACGCATGAACCGGAAGTGGTGACGGCTCAGCGTGGAAGGAGACAGGCATAGCCAGACCTTCGGAGCGCTGGCCATAGCTGGGACCTGCGCTGTACTCTGCCAGCACACAGGGGCTGGCAGAGGTCTGGGCTATCGAGGTCTGCTGGAGGCGAGAGACATTGGTGCCCTGCGGGACCCTCCTCCGGAGTGGGGTTCCAGGGTGGTGGCGCTGCAGCCATAGCTGCAGCTTCTTCCTCAGAGGCCTGTTTCATGGTGGCGCTTCCCTGTGGAGGCTGTATCTGGGTGGCGTTTGATGTTTCAAGGGCTCAGGGGTGTTGCGAGTGGTTACTCAGGGTTGGGGAGTGAAGCGCTGCTCACTTCTGAGCAGCGCACTGTAGTACTGAGGTTATCCTGACAATTCGAGACTCTGAGTTTAATAAACAGTGTGTAACTGGGTTTGGACTATCATCGTTTCATTGTTTTCCCGGATGTGATCTACTCCGCTCTTCTTTATGACTGGTTGTGAGGATTGAGTGGAGTGAATTGCACTTTCAGTGTACCCTGTCATATCGCATGGTCAAGTCTTCCGCTGTGTTTATCTCTCCCTGTGCGGTGTGATACTCGTATCCTCTTCCCTTCCTTCTGTGTATGTATGGGCATACCTGGAAGTCTATGTGAGTGAGTGTCGGTCTTCAGACACCAAACAACCAGAACCATAACACCATGGTGCACACAGTCCCTCATGGTACTTGCTGACTGTACAAAGTGAGACTGGGACTGGGTACCGCTGACTAAGCGAAGTTGGACTCACCACTTGCCCACTTGCCTCTGGTCTGTTGTGAATAATGTGAGAAAAACTTGAAAGGCCACTTCCGGACCTTCCGGAAGTCTGTGGACTTGGCCTTTCGGGGCTGTAGCAGCTACGACCTTGACCTTTCAGAATTGCTACAGCTACGGCCTCTACACAGGTATGACCCCTAGTCGACAGATCTACAGATCGAACCCCTACAGCTACACAGACCTACGAGCGCTGGCCTAGAAGAGGCCTCATTTCATTGTGAAGGCTGCTAGGCTTGTGAATTGCTGCTGGATATTACCACACCATTTAAGCTGGTTCTTGTGATCACCATGGGAAAAGTTGTGTGTGTGTGTGAGGGGGAGAGAGAGAGAGAGAGAGAGAGAGAGAGAGAGAGAGAGAGAGAGAGAGAGAGAGAGAGAGAGAGAGAGAGAGAGANGAGAGAGAGAGAGAGAGAGAGAGAGAGAGAGAGAGAGAGAGAGAGAGAGAGAGAGAGAATACTACCATCCTCCTCTGAATGTAACGCCCCATCATTATGGACGTATGTAAACCCTGTTTCGGTCAAAATACGCTGATGCTGCTGGGGCATTGTGTATGGGGAAGCTAGGGCACAGAGAAACTGCTTGCCAGTTGATTCCAGCCCCACACCACCCCCTCAACAAAAAAGGAAAAACTTGGTGCCTTTACCTCCTGGCTAGTTGATTTAGCTCAAGTGATGGATGTAATGTTGGCTCTCAACCCTCGATGATTGAGCTTTGACTTTTTAAGGCCCGACAACTCGTTTGAACCGATCCTCTGATACTTGATGTCTTTTTAGTAGTTTCACCATTCAGCAAACAATACAACTCTCACTCCAACTCACACTAGGGCGCCAAGTGCACCTGCAAATACAATACTCTTGGAATTCCTGGTCGCTAGAAGAACCTGCAGATAAAGAGCAGCATGCATCCATCAAGCAAAGTCGACCAGATACACGGCAGAACACATGAAGACGTTAGAAATATATATCTGGTTGTAAAACCAAATTATTATATCATGAAGGAAAAAAGAAATGCAACCACAAATGTTTGTTTCTTTTTTGCTTTGGTCTACTGACTCTCCTCCCCCTTTCCAAAAGAAGGCCAGTGGTCCAAAAGCCCTTCGAGGTTCAAAAACCCTTTGTTAGTTGGAAATGTGAAGAGGACGTAATTGAACCTTCAACCAAAAAAAAAAAAAAAAAAAAAAAAAAAATCCCTTCAACCAACCACCACTTCAGTATTGATATTTACCAATACCCATTGGTGTGTTCTATTCATTATAACAACGACGAAGGCAAGGTACCATGTGTTCCTAGCCAGACCCATATAACTTAGACGTAAGAACAGACATACAAGCAGACCTATAAACGTAGGACCAGGAGGAACAGAGGTAGGAGCAGAATACTTAGAAAAGCACTATGGGTTATATGGAAGAAAAGATGTCAAGAAACAATAGAAAGGCAAAAAATTCACAGCCATGAAGCGTGGGGACTACTGCAACAACAGGTAGAAGTACTCGATTTGCAACTGATGTATACCTTTGCTACCAGCGTGTTGTTACGGCAGGATGTGGGGATTCCAATGGGGAAACGTACCAGCCCCCCTCTCGCTTGCATTTTGTGCGCATATGCTGAGTGTATGTTCTACCGCAGCCTGGGGAGATTTGGGTGTCAAGTGTACGGGATCAGACTAGTTGATTATGTTGTTTTGATTACTGCATCCCTGTCGAATGAGGCATTGGTGTGGGTTCTGCAACGTTTCAGTGAGTGTTATCCTCGGAACCTGTGCTTGAAATGCACGGATAACGGGTTTGGAGCATAGTTGCGGCGCATCACGTGCGCGCAAGTTGTGCACTTGCGCCGCAGCGCACATGCGCACACGTGCGCGCGCACGTGATGCGTTAACGCTACGTGATTTTAGGAAACGTATGGGCCACTACAGGAGCGCCCAAGTTCATCTAAATGTTTCTACTCTATTTTTTTCCGCGGCCGATAGCTGGGCCAAGTACTGGTGGTTTAAAAAGGGTAAATACACAGAAAGAGAATATTTTGGTGCCTCGTCGTACTGCTCATTGGTTTGATTTTCCTTTCCAAAAAGTACCCTGGAAGCAATTAGCAGAGTCTCCAACGACTCTCCATAACCTTCGGAAGGATGTGCATTGGACTGCTGGAAGACCACGAGTAGGCCAGCAATATATCCCGGATTCGGATTCAGGTCTGTGTTCCAAGAGTTATGGGTTACAAACTTACCACAAACACTCCAGTAGTCTCGTTTTTTTTTTTTCCCTTTTCTTACGTGCAGTGGCCCTAAGGGCCTGGCTCTACTCATCAGCACTTGCCGAAAAGAAAAACGGATGGTTTGTATGGTTCCAGTTTCTAGGAGAAGATTCATTCTAGTTTTGCACATACAGTAGCTGTCGATTTTAGTTTTTCCTTTTCTTACTTGCGTGCAGTGGCCCTAAGGGCCTGGCTCCACTCATCAGCACTTGCAGAAAAGAAAAATGTATGGCCTGTATGGATTCGGTTTCTGGGAGAAGATTCATTCTAGTTTTGCACATTTGGTGAGTAGTGGAGTGAAGCCCTCAAAATCACATGCCGAGTTAGTAAGTCAGTAACCCATAACTGCTGAAACACGGACCTGAAATCAAAGCTACACCATATGTAGCTGGCCTACTCCCTCCTTACTACGAGTCCAGTGACGACCCTTCCAATGATCACCCCATTCCTGGCGAAGGGACCCTTGCCAATTTTTGGCAGGGACCTTGTGAAGTACCGGCAGGGGTTGTCTGAATAATGTGCAAGGGCTCTGTGCTCTCTCTCTCTCTCTCTCTCTCTCTCTCTCTCTCTCTCTCTCTCTCTCTCCAGCGTGTATACACACATCACGTTTGTTTGTTTGTTTGTTTGTTTGTTTTCGCGTGCGCGCGCGCACCTGGGATTGGTGCAATGCGCACCGCGCAGCGTACTGCGCAGCGCACTTCACCTACGCGCCGCAAGTATGGTTTGGAGTTTTGGAATTCCTGGGCTGTGAGGTGAGGTGCAGCCAGTCTTATCCATGCCTTGGTTGCATGCAGATGTCAAAAAACAAGGAGAGCTCATGGAATAGCGGGTCACTGGAATTTCACACAGGGCAATCTTTTCTTTCATGGGGCAGTAAACAGCAGAAGAGTGCAGCAATCAGCAGTTACTTGCATCGGATCGATCAAAATACATCCATTCGCAGTGAAATTCCTGGACGAATGTTATCACTCAAACGGGAACTGAGCTGTGAGGTGAGGTGCAGACAGTCTTATCCATACCTTGGTTGCGTGCAGATGTCAAAAAACGAGGAGAGCTCATGGAATAGTGGGTCACTGGAATTTCAAACAGGGCAATCTTTTCTTTCATGGGGCAGTAAACAGCACAAGAGTGCAGCAATCAGCAGTTACTTGCATCGGATGGATCAAAATACATCCATTCACAGTGAAATTCCTGGACGAGTGTTATCACTCAAACGGGAACTGAGACTGAAAGATGTATCAATGAGTTTCTTTGAACGCGTTCTACGACGCTTCGCGTTACGACGGGATACGATTTGGAAGCAGAGCTTGGAATTGTTAGTGGTCCGGTGACGTGACTGGAGTAATAGCCGATTTTGACATACTCGGACAGGGCAGGCACCATGGTTAGCACAATTAGCAGTACTGATTTTTTTGGATTTAGGTTGCCCTTGAAACGTTTTGGCTTGAACTGTTGTCTCTGTTTTTTTGTTGTTTGCTTTTTGTTATTTCTTGATGTTTTTAGCTGACAAACAGTGATGCCAACCGGTTTCAAACTGTCGCCAGTTTTAAGCATTTCATAGGCAAGGGCCTGCTCACGGGTATTTTTTGGTTTGTTTGTGTTTTTGCGAGGCGCAAGGCCTCGGTAAACCCTACTGGGCCCTTTTTGCAACAGCGTCGGCCACCCTAAGTAAGTGAAGGCAGGCTCGACACACGACAAGAGGCCTATTTTGGACTACCACGCAACTGGGAAAATTCAGGCAGTTGTGCAGCGTCAGTTGGTTGA